AACAGTGGAAAGAAAGATGCCAAAATGGTCGATGGTGCTGAAGACAAGCTGCATAGTTGAAGGATGATTCTCTGTTAGTTCATCACTACAAGTAACCTCTTTCTCATTATACATTTGCTGTTAATATTCAAACATTGATTAAAAGGAGCTTTAAAATGATTTATGACTTCTGCCACGTTATAAACTACCAAAGGAAAAAAAGCAGCCTGCTCACATATTAAACAAAGCTTCAAGCATCCAACACGCCAGGATCTCAAGACATCGTTTCAAAAAGAAATGAATGAATGTCTGGTTCTAAAGATGTTTGTATGCAGTGAAATGATTATTTCCGTCACGATTCCTGGAGGTTGTCACAGTGTACATGCAGCTGTACTCCACTGCTGCAGGAGCATTGTGAGGCCTCCAACCTGGAATGTTTCAAGGGCAACTGTAAATTTTCCTGAGTAATTGAATTGCTATGAAGCCATTCATCTAGCTACGGTATGTTCACCGCTTTCCATTGACTTGAGGTTCCGCATATACTCCACCTCTGGCAGCGATATGTTGTGCACATTTTAAAAGTGGTATAGCGACCTCCTTGACCTCCAGAGTTGACTTGTAGTTTATGATGGGGAAAAAAAAAGTTATTCTTTCAGTCTTAAGCTTTGCCTGATCAGTAATATAAATGAGGAATTTTTGAAGCCAAAGAAAAAAAATAAAAGAATTAGGCACTTTAAAATGTTTGCATAACGAGCACCTTCTCGCTTGCAATGGTTCTCTTCTTTTTAATCACCTGCACTCTCCAGACCACCTACACCCTTCTTCATGATCAGATACAGGACCAACGGGCTGATGTATGATCCGAGGAATTAATCTGCTAAGCCTGATTGCCATTACCGCCATGCGATTATGCACCTTGATTACCGAGCCCACCCCAAGGACCATGACGTGCCCCGGTGCACATTTTAAAGGTGCGCATAAAATTATGTGGTGATTACCCCACAATAGATCAATCCACAAGCGAATGAGACTGTGTGGCCATATAGACCGTCTCAAGTAGGACTGTGATTATTAATGGGTACTTGAGGTGACCTGATAGGCTTCCTGAAGCTTGAACCACTGAAACTGCCTCTGATCCTTCATATAAGCAAATAAATTCCTTTTCATACATTCTGAAAGTCATTATTGGATTATTGTTGTAGAGGTAGAATTGTTTGGAGTTCAAGCATGGATAAAAGGTATTCTGGGCTCTTCAGAGGCGACTGGAGCCGCACTTGTCGCTGTTGAGATTGACTTGAGACGTTTTATGGCAGCACAGTTATGGATGGGCTTGACACTCAAGAGGACGGTATGCGTTAGTAGTATTTAGTTATCAGCACATATCATATAGAAACTCCCGGAGGTCAGTATTTTCTTGTGTATGATGCAAAAGAAAAAAAAAATGTATAAAAACAAAGTTCTGTGTGCCAACCCGAAGAAAGAGAAAGCTTGTGCTTACAAGTAATGAACATGTAAGTACATATCATTCTGCAGTGACACTTATCCTCAGAATTTGGTCCCATCTAATCCCTCACTGTCATTTTTCAAGGATTTTCTTATTTAATCCTGAGCCAAAGTACTCATTTGGTACAGCAGATAAATAGTCCCATTGACTTATCCAGAAGCAATCCTACATCAAGCGATTAATTGGATGAGACAATAAAGAAGTGAAATCACATCTGTTCATGGTTTTCTCCCTGGTTACATATGTTAGTCACACAGTCACACTACCTTGGATAACCCTCCTACCCCCCCTCTGGTGCAGCAGTTCTAATGTTAACATGTTTGCATTAGTAATGCCCTGCCAAGGATTTAATGGACTCGATGTGCTACCATTCACAGTGGTTCCACATTCTTAGAAAGCATGGTTTCTCAGTGGCGGTCATGTGCCCTGCCTGCACACTGACTTAATGGCTTCAGCAATTTTGCATATCTACAGGAGCAAAAAAAAAAAAAAAAACCATAAATGTCAATCAGAAGAAAATAACTGATTTATGCCCTTTGTCTTTATCAAAGTTAGGGAGGTTTATGACACGGTAAATGTATTCAGTAAAGACAACGCTGCTGAAGCCATACTCACATGCTGTAGATACATCGAGGACCATTTACAGTATGCAAATGTGAATTGGAGCTTACAAATGCACAATTGCAGAAATTCCATCACTGGCCAGAGTTCAATAACTCTCCAGTCTTCAAGTGTCTGGATAATGGTCACTGTGACTGCACATCGCTGCAATTCAAAACCTCGACTATCCATCACTGGACAATGTTTGCCACTAAAACAACACAGATAAGGGAGTACGTGTTGATGCTGGTTGGGCCCCGTGCTATTGTAAGAGATGATGAGTGATAGACAGGAGAGGATGGGCACATACTATTCACAGTGCTCCATGTGGCAGCTTGCATTTTCACACTGGTACAGTATGTTTGTCAGCTACAGACAACGCAGGCACTTACGCACTGCCGTGGGCAAGCAAAGTAGTGTTCTGCCAGCCGACTGCGTCACGGGCACATGCATGTCGTACATACCACCGCGGAGTCCCTCTTATACATGCCTGCACACTTTGCAATGACAGATTGTGAGATCTCGGCCTGCACGGTGCACAAAGCATCCTGGAATCACTCACTTTAAGCAGAAAAGCCACATTCTTCTCCCCAAAATCACATGCATGTTGCACTTAAAACATGTCATGTGTGCTTCCCTTAACCTCTACTTGTACAATGCTCAAATTGCTTCACACTTCACATCAACGGCTGGGTGAATTGGGCCTGTTCTTTATATAGTGACAAACAAATTTTGCATCTTTGAGAAAAAAAAAAAGCAATAGCTTGCACCATTTTTTTTGCACTCTTTTTTAGCCTTGTAGAGAGATTTGAGGCCACACAGATCATTAACTGCAGTTACAAGAATATACAGGAAGTTTTGACAAGAGGAGACTTCAGTTCCAACATTCTTTGAAAGAGAAAAAAAATACACGATAATAGACCATAATCATCTTCGGCATTTGAGTGGAAATTAATAGCCTTTTATAGCAAAACTGGATGAGTGGATGAACAATGGAATGAATGAAGCAAGACCTTCAGATCTTCACCACTGACATGGCAAGAAATTGTCCTGTTTAACAAGAATACCATGACCCTCGTGGTGTTCATCTATGCATTTACAATGAGGGAAATTCTTTGAGGACTAAGGGATTCAGAGTGCAGCTGAATGTGTTTCAGCCTTGTGAGTCACACGGCAGAACTGTGATGTCTAATGTTAGGGCTACAGTGTGGTGCCACAGGTGGCCTGTTATAATGTATATCTTGGGAAGAGACACACTCATCCGAACGCTCTGACGGGGGTCTCCATACTGAACCAAACAGATTGTGGGAAAGAGGATGGGGGGCGGGCGGGGGGGGATAGAAATTGGATGATTCCAAACCATACACAAGAAACTTTGCTGTTCCAGAAAATGTTTATTTTGTTCATAAACTTTTCATAAAAATAACAACATCAATATTAATTTAAAGTATTGTAGAAACTGTGTATGTACAAAATCTTTACTTGAACAGTTAATATAACTTAAGGCGAGTTAAATTACTTTTTTGCAGTACCCTGTTGGTGACAATTTCACCAAACTCTCAACGTTTTTTTTTTGTTTGTTTTTTTAATGTATTTTTTACTTTATTTTTTTTGCTAAAGTGAACATTTCAGCATACAGTATCTCCAGCAAAAGATACCAGGAGTCAAAACCCTTTCATCACCAAGGTAAAGTCTACAGAAACTCGCAGCAATGTGTGCTACCTGATTACTTAAAAGCAATGTTTATATGAGTTGCTAGTGGTTTCTAGCTCGATTGAACATACGTCTGTACATACTGTAAAATCATTTTTGTCGAAAAGCTGTACCACAACTAGTGTACATTCCCTTTAAAATCTAGATCAACAATTCAATGGAGTAACTCTCATCATACCAACAATGGGATGAAGTGCGAAACTGTTTCTGATATCAAATTGTAACATTTAAAATATTGTGTTACTAAACAATAGCCCTCAAAAAACCAAGACATTATTTATGATTTAGAATACATTTCACCTTAGAAAGGACGCTCAAATATGATAATTGTAAAATATACAGTTAGCTATAAAAATACAAAGAAGTACAGTAATACAAATATATTTATTTCCCATTTATGATATATCTTTCACAACTGTAATAATCCAAACAATTGTAACACAACACAAAGACCAATGACAAAAAACACTGACAGCAAAATGATAAGAAGATAAACAAACACTAAATTTGATCAAAGATGGACAGCTTTATGGTCGAAGCCATAAATGTGTAAGCCTACATTCATGTCAACAGCCCTCACTGTGCAGTGAAGGAGTACTTTGACAGTGGTTGATATTCCGGATAAAGGAGGAAAAAAAATAAAATGAAATTAAAAAATAAAAACACTGACATAAACATGCATTTTTTAAGAAACATAGTCCAAACCATTGCTCTAAGAATGCTAAAAGCAGAAAATAAGAATCTTAAATGGAGATATTAATAATCTGTAAGTGCAATCCATCCATGCTCAGAGGCGAGTGGAGGTTGGAGCTGTCCAGGAGAAGAGGTGCTGAACAGCAGTCATGCAATGCAGAGCAGAGAGGTTCAGGCTCTGCTGACAGCAACAGCAACAAGTCACTGTTGATCTGTTTACCGACTTTTACAACTTATGCATCTTTTTTTGCATAAAGTCAGCAGCATCAGCAGCAGGCAGTAAGGCCGAAGCAGTCCTCTTTTTTTTTTCTTTTTTTCTTTATTTAACCCCCCCTTCCTCTCTGCTCCTCAAATACTCTAATATGCGCAAAGCCTCCTGCATTGGCTCGCCAGTCAAACCAACTCAGACATCAACTTGTTAGTCAGCTGGCTTATCTTCCAAGACGGAAAGATCCTAATATATATCTATGTATATATATATGTATATTTGTGCGGACACACCGCCTTGTCTTCAAATTCCCTCGGGAAGAGTGAATGGCCAGGTGCCGGTGGTCACCTGTGGCTTAATTTCCATTTTCTCCTTCTGTTTCAGATGTACGCGTCCGTGCCGTTTTCTCTCGTCGCTGCGGGCGAACCGTTTGCCGCACACGTCGCAGGAGAACGGCTTCTCCCCGGTGTGAGTCCTGGTGTGGGTGGTGAGGTGATCGCTACGGCTGAAACTGCGCAAACAGATGCGGCACTGGAAGGGTTTGTGGCCCGTGTGGATGCGGATGTGCCGGTTGAGCTCGTCCGAGCGGGAGAAGCGCCGGTCGCAGCTCTCCATGGGGCAGGTGAAGGGTTTCTCTTTGGCGGGGCCGTGGGAGGCGGCGGGGCTCTTTCTGGCCCTGGGGGGCTTCGTCGCACGGGTGGTGTAACTTTGGGCGAAAGAATCTGGCAACAAGGAAGAGTACAGGATGGAGTCTATGGTGCTGGGTAAAGCTGGTGACGCGTATAAGGAATCACACTGATTGTTAGATGGCTGTGGAGGCTCCGGGAAGGGCTTCAGGTTGGAGGAGAGGCCCATCGGCGGTGGGGGGAGGTAATTATTGTACAGGGGGTTGGAGTAGCTCTGGGAGCAGGTGTCAGAGAAACACGGTTCCTGTTTGATCCCCCCCTCCACCTTAAACTCCATCTCTGGGTTGGGACAAATTGGGGGGAACGTGTCTAAAAGTTCCTTTACATCCATTTGCTGGTCAGGTGGGAAATCACTCGACATCGGGAAGGTCTCCGACTGGAAACTCGTCTCCAAACAGTCAGACTTGGTAAACGTTCCCCACTCGTAGCAGCTGCTCTCGAACTCGTTCTTGACCACGACGGGGAACGAGGCAGCCTCTGATTTTGGTTCGGCCTTCTTCTGGCTTGGCGCTCGGGAGGAACCGAAGCTGAGCTGGGAAGTGGACGGGTCTTGGGCCTGACTGCCGGCCTGATCGTCGGTGTACCTCGGGCACGACTGATCCGGAGAGTACACCGGAGGAGTAGGTCCGGAGCAGGTGTACGGTTGCCTCTTGACGCCCGACGGGTCTCCAAAATTGCCATTGCTGCTGTCCAACGGCGCAGGAGACGGATAAGTTCCCCGGCTGTTGCCGCTCTGTTGCACTTCTGAAAGTGGCAGCGTAGAGATACCCACGATCTCGGTGATCATATTGAGAAGTGTTTCGGTGCTGCACGGCGCTCCCTGAGATGCCTCAACATAGAAACTGCCGGAGTAGGCGAGCGAGGAGGGGGTGTAGGCGTCTTTTGGGCACTCGCAGGGGTTAAAAGCAAATTCCGAGTTGGAAGCTTCGGTTTTGAGGGTTGCGGGGGTTCCTTCTGTTGAATTAGAAAGAGAGACAACTTTGTCATCGCGAGGGTTTTTTTTTTTTTCTAATATGTGAGGAAAAATGGAAACGATAAAGAAGATCTGCGTTACATAAACATTCATGCGTATTTTGGCACGGAGATGCCTCAGTAAGAACACACACACACACACACACACGCACACACGACTGCACGGAAAGTGTCCTCTCCGTCCTGTAACGCTCGTCTTCGACACATTCAAACGGTCATGCATGCAGATTTATCGACCGTGCAAAAAAAAAAAAAACATGCGAACTCACCGTGGCCAAACTGGGCAGGTACCCCCCGCTCTGCATCGACGTACACCTCCTGGTTGTCTTTCCGCACGCTGTTTTCCATCCCCAAGGAAGAACTGTTGCAATTCTCAAATTGAGGGTAAAAAGAATCTTTCGCATTCAAATCCATATTGTTCAACATAATGATGCACTTAGAAGTCCGTCTCTATCCAGGGAAAAAGGTAAAAGGGGGGGAAAAGAAATTGTGCAGATGATTGTTTTTTTTTTTCTTTCAGCCCTCCTTTTGATGGTATTCAACAAATGATCCAAAGTGGTCTGGGTTTTTTTTTTAAAAGGAGTAAAAAAAAAAGCAAATTAAAAGGTATTCCTTCTCGTCTCAGCTCCTCGGTAGGTATTTGCTCGCTGTGGATTTCACATCAGCGACTTCCCCTCTCTCTCCTTATATACACTTTGGCAGCTCCCTCGGCCCTCCTCCCCATTCATCAGCTCCAGTGAGAGGATTCCCCGCTGCGTGTAAACTTCATGCCCATATATGGACAGAGGATGTGACGGAGTCCCCACCCCCCACCTCAGTCCTCCCTCCTCCCAGAGAGATGGAGTCTTTGCAACAAGTGTTGGCTGGTAAAACCTTGTCATCATGGCATTTCTCTTTAATGTCATTTTAAACGAAAGATAAAGCATTAAAGTGAAGCCAATCTGAAAAGATGGAGTCTTTATTCTCTCACTGACGGTGAAGCGTCACAATACTGGAGGTTAGCTCAACTGTTCAGTAGTTCTGGCTGTGATTCCTCAGGAGAGTAGACTGGCATAATCACATAGAAGTGTTGTAATCCAGTGTTTAGTGCTAAGAGGCACAACATAGGATGTGTAAGGGGGGTGTAATATGACAGATGTGTATAGATGTAGTCCACAAGTGACTCAGCAGAGAGAACATGTCATGAAACACCAAAATAGTTGCTTCTGTTTTGTTCCTCTAGTTAGCTGTTTAACATGTAAGAGCAATGAAAACAAAGCATTATAATCATACTGTAGCATATTTTAGAGATAGTCTGATATTTATGCTATTTATATTTATCATATATCCACAGTGTTCTTACTTCAACGGTGCAATATATTTGAAGAGTTTATTTGCCAATACAGATAACTCCATCTTCTTCACCCACTTTTCCATCGTCTACCTGAGACAATATCAATCAAATGTAAGCTATCTCTATTTTTGTCATGTCATTTCTACTGAGCCAAATCCACTCAACTTCAGGTTGATTGATATTATCTCAAGCAAACAACAACAACAATAAGTTTTCTGAAAATCTACAAAAATTGAGTTATCTGTTTTTGTAAATTAGCTCTTCATTTATTCTACCGTTTGGCTATTACCATGCTCATTCCTAACTGTATATACTTCCTACTGGTTCCTATTGTAAATATATTTATATATTTTTATTTGTCTTTCTTATACCTGTATTTGGCACCACTGGAGTTGTCTTTAAATGTCTTTGTACTTTGTGTATGATGACAATAAAAGCATTCTATTCTATGAGACTGTTAAAGCCAGCTAAACACCATATGCCCTATAAATAGACATCAGTGAAAGAGATTTCAAATAAAACATATGCAGGGCTGCTACAAGCCAATGTGCAAGATCAAATCACTGATGAAAAATAGTCTTAACAGGAACATCAAGCAAACACAGCCTGTGCTACCTTTAGGTTTGTGCTCATCTACATGCATCTGGTGTCCAATTTAAATTCCAAAACAACAAACTAAATCCACATGTGGCACAAAATAAAAAGCTATGACAATAAAGAGGTTTAGGTTTTTTTTCCCTGACAGGTTCTTTTTGTAGATCTGGCAGTTGATGTGGTGCAAGGGCATGTAACAGAACAAAACAACAAGAAGTACAAAAGGCAACACAGTAAAGAGCGACAGGATTGAAGCAAACCTAAACTGATAATAAGCTCTATGGAGGTATGGCCAAATTATCTTTTAGTGTCATTAAACACCGTTATATTTTAGAGATAAATACAAAATAATCTGCAGTCCAGTTCAGCTGTCCTGACACTCATCTGTGAGCCAGACTGCCTGGTGCAGATGCTTTCAGCAGCTCCACTGAACTCCTCTTCCAGACAGTCCACTGCTCACATTTGCTTTTCACAAATTCACTTCCTCTCGAGGTGCCGCTGGAAATTGTGGTCGCTCACACTATCAGGGCGAATAGCTGCAAAGCCCGGTCTGAACGAACCCTTGGCCTTTAAAAGCATTGAAGGGAGTCGATAACACCCCTGAGGTGTTCAGTGGTTGAACCCAACTGTTCACATGACATTTCAACCCCCAAAGCATTTTTTTTCTGTTTCGCATCTGTTGCTGGGTGCACTCCGTGGTCACACTTCCTATTACAAAAAGTCGATACTCTTTCATAGGACGCTTGCAGTCTGCAGCAGACCTCTGGCACCGGCTGGAGGTTCAGGACCGCGGACAGCGCCGGTGCAGCATTCAGCCGCGTAATCACACATGGACCCGAGCAGCAGGACACAAACCCTTTACTTTTTTACTTTAAACCGACTGGTGCCTGTCGTCCTGTATTTAAGTGAACCGCATTCTTTTGCATGAAATCAATCCAATCACACCCCAGAGGACTATGTGAAATTAGAGTCACTACTAACATAATGATTTTTGCTTTAATCCTGCGGAGCTGTGGAGCAGCAGGAAAAAAAAAAAAAAGTGGTCAACACGCCCAATGATCGCGTATAGACAACATGAGCAATGACCCTCAGCCAATCATATTTATAGGATTGTTTTTTTAAGTTGTGCTCAGAATGTTTCCTCCCATTGTTATACAGATACAAGCTCCAGACAGAATATACTTTACCAAATACTTTAATAGTGCATCATATATCCGTTTGTTTCAGCTTTATATTTCTACTCCATCACATTTCTGTGCAAAAATGTTGCACATAAATCATTTTCATATTAACAGTTTACACAAAATCTATATGGCCAGTTTATAAAATATTCTCCTTGTTTATAGGTTCAAAAACAGGGATCTATTGAGAGCTGCTAAAATTGGCTCCACCTTGAGTAACACTATTAATTAGACGTTACAAATCAATTATTATTATTATTATGATATTACAATAACACTTTAAGTACATCTTGTTGCCTTTAATTCTGCATGATTAAGTTTTAAATGGAGGATTTGGAGTGTTTTTATAGTGTGCTCTTGTCACTTTTATCTGAGGGAATTATTTGTCTTATTAATTTTATTTGTCCATTTTTATTTCTTTTTAGTTTTAGCTTTTTAGTGTTATTTTATTTTTTCTTTTGTAATGTTATGCTGTAATGTCACTATACAGTTGTATTTGATATGTGTAAATGCTTGCCTATATGACATATAATGGTAATAATAATAACAACAGTAATAACAATAACAACAACAACAATAATAATAATAATAATAACAACAGTAATTTATGTACTTCTTCCACTATTGGTGGTAATGCAGTTACCAAGTTACTGTAAACGATTACAAGATAAACATTGGGGTAAGAAACATTAATGGGGCTTTTTTTATATACACAAAATCCTCTTTATTATTATTTGATGATGCTTTGTTCTTGGTGACATTGCTGGAAATGTGTAAGTTCAAATATATATATTTACAAGTAACAGTTGTTGATGTTGTTGTACTCGTCTGTGTTAATGCTGATTGTAATTTTTTGTCCTCCTTGCTCACAATCATGAAAGGTCAGAATTTTAGAAGCATTTCTATTTAAAATGCACAAACTATGACCTCAATGACAGTGCCAACATAAACTAAACATTACAGGAAACATAACAGTATACTTTATGGCAGAGCCGTTGTAGTGGACTGCATTGTTTGTACAAGCGTACCTAATGCAGTGGACACTGGGTGTACATAGGGTTTTTTTTTTGTATTAGTAGATGGTTGACATCTGTGAACATGAGGAAGGAGAAAGAAAAGATGACAGTGCATCAAAGGTTACAGCCAGAACCAAACCTGAAACAGCATTATTAGGCTCTGAGAGGCCCTCTAAAATTGTGTGATTTGTCAGACTTCAATCTAATGTTTCTTTTTCTTCTTTTTTCTTTTTTTTAAGCCCTGTTTTTGTTTTACTCCATCAAGCCTGAAAACTAGTCAAATGAAATAATCAGATATTCTTCAAGCACAATTCTCCCAACAGCCATGAAACCAGTAACAAGGGGTCACAAGTGCACATGGCTGTGCACAAGTAAATATGTTACAAGGTAAGTGAACCAAAACCAGAAAATCACTTCTTTCACATTGCTACAGACAGCCTTTTACCAATAACCACAGGATTTTTCTGAACTGTAATGAAAGGGCTCCAGTGAGCTCAGATCTCGGGCCATTTGAATAGTATCTGAGTGTGTTTTGTTACAGACAAGATTAGCTGAAGCTTAGAAAGATTGTGGGCTCTGTGGAATAAAAGATACTGTGTCTACTGCAGCACAAATGTAAAAAGACTGTTAGACATAATAAACAGCCTGCTCATCCTAGACTACTCACATTTTATGTTATCTCCATCAATACTGAGCGGTGGAAAATGTATTAAAGGATCTCTAAGTCGCTACCCTGTCATCTTTTTAAGGTAGGGTATGATAATAGCATATAAGCTCTTTCATTGCAGCAGTGACATTCTCCGGAACAAATCGTTTTCACCTCAGCTATGCACTCTAATTCTAGGCCCAGAGATGTTTAGCTTTGAGGAACTGCCTCCAAGTAATCCAGAGTCTATTAAAACCAATCTGATCACACAGAGTTCAGATCACGGGATGCTGTTATGATAACTGCAGTGTGGCTAACCTCTCTCCTCCATAAAATGCCACAGCACAGGGACTAAGTAATGGATTTATGTAATGTTAGCACTTACTGACATTATAGCGCAGAGGTAACTCCATACCTGTGAAAGTTAAATGAAAGCCTTTGTTTTATTTCCTTGCGTCTGAGAGCACTGTGAGACAAAATGCTCCTGTTTCTTAGGGAACAGCTTGGTGGGCTGAGAAAGAATATAGAGCAATACAAAGTTGCTTCTATGTTTTAACAAGATATTGGCTTCAAAAGAGGTTCAAAGTGCTGGCTATGGAAAGAAGATGAAACATTGCCTTAATGAAGGGATATCTTGGCACTTCCACTGAATGGAT